CCCCCGGCCGCCCCCGCCTGCGTCCACTACCTGCTGCGCCGCGGCGCCTCCGTCGACTGCCTCAAGAAGGCCGACTGGTAGGTGGCCCCGCTCTCGGGGACGAAGACTGCTTGTTTCGGGCAAAAAGAGAGAAAATAATGATAATACTAACAAAAAAGCCTCTTCCTATCAAGCAAGAGGCAGGAGGGGCTTCTTAAAGCTGAGATAACAGCAGGCAGCAGCTCTGGTCCCTGTGGTCGCAGGTGGTTCCAGTGTCATTCCGACGTTGGGGGAGCGGAGGAGGGAAGAGGTTTTGGGATCTGGCTGCAAACCGGCATGCAGACCCGTTTTTTCCCTTGTATTCCCTCACTGCCCTTCTGTATATGGGTAAAAAAACAGTGATTTTGGGCTTTCTGAGGCATGGCCTTGCCTTAGGACAAGGTCTTATTTGCATTGAAAATATACCCTGGCCTGAGGGAGCTGCAGGAAGCGCTGAGCTCCCAGCTCTGTGAGTCTCAGCAGATTGTGTCTAATTTGGTCTCCCAAACTGCCATTGCAGGAGGGTTTTTTCAGCTTTTCCTGAATCAGGGATGTTTCTTGTCGCTCCTCGCGCTTGTCGGCACCGGAGAATCGCTCCTCTTCCCCAGGAAAGCTCCGAGGTTTCTGTCCAGAGTTGAATATTTGGGGAACAATGGTAAATAACGGACAAAATGGAAAACCTGCCCCTTGCTTAGGACAGCTCAACTGTTACCATTGCAAACATCCTGTCGCCGCTGTAATGCGGTAATTAAGGGAAATAGGGGCTGCTGCTGGTGAGGGCAGGGAAATTAGTCCCAGACTAAACTCAACGTGGGAGATAACTGTGGTTTCCACCCCCTTGAGCTTTGCCTTGAGAGAAAATCCTCGCGCTGACGCTGTCTTTGCTGGCACCGTCTCCGTTGTTAATTTAACGGCCCCGTTTTCCCTTCAGGACCCCCCTGATGATGGCTTGCACCAAGGCCAACCTGGAGGTGATCGAGCTGCTCGTGGAGCACGGGGCGAACCCGCTGCTGAAGAACAAGGATGGCTGGAACTGCTTCCACATCGCGAGCCGCGAGGGCCACCTGCCCGTGCTCCAGTACCTGCTCCACGTGTCCCCAACCTGCTGGGACACCGAGAGCACCATCAAGAGGACGCCCCTGCACACGGCAGGTGAGGAGGGACTCGTCACACGAGTGACAAGTGGAGGCGGAGGATGGATTGGGGCTGGGGTTAGGCTTTTTGTTTAATTTGGAGAAGCCCCGTGTGACCCTTTTTGATGCAAAAACACAGGGAAGCAGTTAAATGTTCCTTAAAGGAAGAGGAGTGAGTGGTGGGCACTGGTGGCACCTCACCTGCCCTCCACAACCTCTTTGCAGGGTTTCACCTTGGCACTGCTGCCTCCTTTTAGTTAACTTCCAGATAAATAAACAGCAAAAATAAGGGTTAATCCTCTTAACGCTGTGCCGGAGAGGAGGATCCTCAGTTCCCAGAGCGCTGGATTATTGCCCACACTCGAAGCCTGTTTTTTGTGGTCACCTCTCTGTCTTCCCATGACACATGTACCCGCAGCTCGGGACACGTTGCAGTAACTTTCTCTTGGTGTGTGAAGCTTTTCCAGCTGCAAAGCCCTGCAAATTTAGGAGAGTTGCAAGGCTCCAAATGTATCTTGGCCCTGTGGGGCTGGGGGACCTGAGGCTGAAATGTGCCCCACTACTGAGCAGGGATTATCCCGAGCTCCCTGGGGCTCATTTGTGCTTCATTCTCGGGTTTCTTGGGGACGATGCCACCATCCCCATTAGTGGGGACATCACAGAGACACAGAGGGGACCTGGACGAGAGGCGGGAGACGGAGTAGCCACTGGAAATCCCATCGGACCCCATCCGTCTCCGCGGTTTGTATTTCAGGCAGCCACATGAGCACATTAACCCGTGACCAGTCAAGCTGGCTGCCGGGCCCAATTATCCCTCGATAGACGGATAATTTCCTCCCGCTGCGATTCCTTTCGGGCTGATTCCCCAAGCTTTGCTGTTTCCTATATCCGTAGCCTACGGCGAGATGCAATTAGAGGAAGCAACATCCGAGCACTGCAGCTCTCCGTCTCCGTTGCTGCTAGAGGATGCAATCCTGCTTTTTTTTCTGGATAGCCCAGATTTTCCTCATCCTAGTGTGGCCCTCCCTACATTTTGCAGGGAGATGACGGAGGATGGGGAGCCCTCGTTGGGCTTTGCTGCCAAAAATGATCTCCCATGTGGAAGTTATTGCTGGCACCTTGGACCCTCCTTCTGTTGCCCTGAGCAAGCAGCCTCATGCAGCAGCTTTTGGGTTGATTTGATTTTTCTGTGATTTATTTCATTCGTTTTGCAAATCGGCCTGCAAAAAAAAAGAATCCAAAATTACGCCTCTCCATATGTTGCTATAATATAATATTTTTTAAAAAAAGAGAATATTTCATCACCTGACATTCAAATCCTCCCCACGCTGCTGCTGTTTATCCTCTGGGTGAGGATGCTTCGCTCGGAGGATGCGACGGGAAGGCCGGGAGCCTGCGGAGGGGTGGGAATATCCAGCTCCTGGCTTTGTGCTCGCTTTGCTTCTCACACATTTCGCTTAGGGGATTAACAAATTCCAGCAAGAAAAGATCTTTGTGTCAGCCTAATTGCAGCATGTAGCCTCTCACGCATGTACTCTGCAAGCAAATGGTGCCTGTGTGCCATGCCTTTCCTCCGTTTTATCCCGTATTTTCCCTATAGGATTTGGTGAAGAGAAGGCTTGAGATCTGCAGACAAAAAAGGGAAAATCAGAAGCTTTGAACTGAAACCCTCTTGCAGCTCCTTCCGCACCAGAAACCCAGTTATGTTCCGCCAGAGGCAGAAGGTGGCACGAAAACATAAATTAACCCTCTGCTTGCTCCCTCTTGCAGCGATGCACGGCCGCCTGGACGTGGTGGAGCTACTCCTGGCGCGGTAAGCTGGCCTGGCACACAAGGTCCCTCTGTCCCGCTCGCTGTCCCCACACAGCGTCCGGTTTTCCCGGCTTTTCCCAGCCGGTTTGGGGCCTTGCGGACAAACGCTCGGCCGACAGGCGCTGGCTTTGCTGTGACACGAGCCCCCGTTACATAACTCGGCTCTGCCTCTCTGCTGATTCATCCCAGTCGCCTGCGACGTGTCGGTGGCCGCGCGATAACG